ACAAGGAAAGCGACCACTGTACTCTGCCAAGACAGGGTAAGATGGTCTTTCAGAATTCCTGCTTCTGAAAATGGTCTGTCAGATACTCTAGGCCTGTAGCCAATTTGAATGCACCAACAATGCTGGGAAACATTAGGTGACTGTCCAGGCTGCCAGCTGTCTCAGTCTACTCTTGCAAGATTCCCGAAAGTTGCTTGCATCCATTTCTCAGGTACCATTATATTCCTTCTCAGGTCTTTGATGAGATTGAAGACTAGCAGTTATAGTTACAACTTAGTATATATATAATCTTAGACAGAACACATTAAGTATTAGATTCAGGTTCTTTAGGATAGTACACCTTTTGGAATGATCTTTGTAACATGCCATTTACCTATGCTCTATACTTCTCTGGATTTTAGTATGTGTTTCTTGCTTGATATTGTTCACACTGGTTGTAGTTCCATCTTATCTAGGTCATTATCCCTCATTATTCCTGGACAATATTTGATAACCATTCCTTTGTATATAGTCTTGTATTAGGTTAGAACTTTCTTATTTAGACAAAAAGGGGGAGATGTAGTGGGTAGCAGAGCTCCAGAGAACACCGCTGGACTGCAAAATACGCCTTCCCTAGACCCTGTGACCTACCTATCCCTTCATTTGTAAGTTACCCACTAAATAAATCTTCCTTTTAACTACGTGGAGTGGCCTTAATAATTTCACCAATACAGAGTAGGCCAAGAGATATTGAGACCATGATTGGAAAAAGCACAGGGACAAATAGCCAAACTAGTGGAAACACATGAACTATGAACCAATAGCTGAGGAGCCCCCATGGAACTGGATCAGCCCCTCTGGATAAGTGAGACAGTTGATTAGCTTGAACTATTTAGGAGGACCCCAGGCAGTGGGACCAGGACCTGTCCTTAGTGCATGAGCTGGCTTTTTGGAACCTAGGACCTATGCTGGGACAATTTGCTCAGCCTAGGAGAAGGGAACAGGGGACTAGACCTGCCTCAACTGAATCTACCAGGCTGAGGTGAATTCCCAGGGGAGCCCTTGCCTTGGAGGAGGTGGGAATGGGGGGTGGATTGGGGGGAGGGTAGGGGTGGGTGGGAGGAGGGAAGACAGGGGAATCTGTGACTGATATGTAAAATTAAATTAATTATAAAATTAAAAAAATAAAAATAAAAAAGACCATAAAAAAGAAAGTGAAAATAGCTTGCTCTGTTCTTAACAAAATAGCTTCTTCTTTAGATAGTCAGATTCTACTGATCATCACCAAATATGGATGCTTGGTATGTGCTAAGGCAATGTAATTGAGACACAAATTAAATGCAAAATACATGTTTTTTCTATAGAGGATTATTAAGTAACTCCTCTGCTTGACTTTTTTCTGTCATGGATAATCTTTAGGTTATCTTTAGAACATGTAATAAAATGAGTACTATACTCAACCACTTAAATTATGATGAGTAGAACAATAATTAGTGATATGATACTAGTGATGTAAATTGTGTCTCCTTTGGACATCCTTGGTTGATGATTCTTTGTAAGGACATCAACAGGTATGTTGACCATGAAAGCATATTATTAAGTTTACCTATAGATTACAAGCAATGAGGTGTAAAATAAATATCTTAAAACTATATCTATAAATGAAAGTTTTTTTTTAAAGAACAGACCTTTTTTGACATATCTCTATGGAATTTTTCCCAATTTCTACATTTTTATCTACTTTGAAGGATTAATTGATGTTCTCTTTGAAATTACACCAGTTCAAACAAAGGAGGCCAAAACACTGTAAATTCTCTTTATTCTAATTAGTTAATGAGGCACATTTGAGTTGTTTGAAGCTTGCTTTATAAGTGTGAGTCTTAAGAGAACCAGAGGCTAAATTCTTCCATTAGTCATCCATTTGTAACCATCACTAACTTCATTGCAAGTTTATTACATAAATAGCCCATAGTGATTTAGGGCCAGAAAATAGGTTTGGGAAAATTCAGTTACCCCCATTTTTCCTATCTCAACATGTTAGATATTAGTCTATTTTTATTATGATACAAAGTATGTTCTCTGCTGTCATTGATTTTTTTTTAGAGTAGAGATAATTTTACACCTGTGTTCTTGTGTTTTCAGGTATTAGGTAATGAACTTTATTTAACGTGAGTTAAAGAGTAAATAAAAGTGTTAAACATATTTAATAGGTTCAAAAAATAAAAATAAAAATAAAAATGGGAAATATTATTACAATGGAGAGAGTAAGGTCTCTGTATAATAATATGCTGGATGGTTTGAAATGGAGCAATTAAATGAAAGGATAATTTATTTAGATGGGATTTGTGTAATGTCAATTATAAATAATACCTGTTGGATCATTTTTGTTTTATTATTACAAAAGCTGGTTAATATGAGTGACATAATAAAAGTTTTAGAAACACTTATTAAACAGATCATAGAGATGTTGAGACCCAGTCAAGGAATTTAAAGAGAACCAATCTCAGTATTTCATTATAAGGTTTCAGAGGAACAGTCTGAGGTTTTCAAACAGTCAGCATTAATTTATCCAGTAATTTATAGAAACTGCAAAATGATAGACATCCCTCTAGATTGTGTAAGAGCTAAATGGACTCCTGTGCAAATGCTAGATTTGAAGAGATTCAAGAAATCTATAAACTCATATGGCATGAATTCACCTCTTTTTGAGTAGATGCTAAACTCATAGTCAATTTGTAATAGAAGTATCCCTCAAGATACTTGGTTATAGCCATTTTGGAAGCTGGTCCTCAGTTATAGTGGAAGACATGGTAGAAGGATGAGGCTGAGACCATGGAACAATAAATTATGGCTAGAGGTATAGAAATCTCCCAAGACCATCTTTTTTTAGAGGGAGATTATGCCAATGTACAAAGGCAGTCTCTACATGATGATGATACCCTGGCTTTATGCTATAGAGCAGCCTTTAATGCTTGAGACAGAATTGAAGAACTAGGAAAGGAAATTGAGTCGTTTACTAAAGTCATACAGGACCCCAAAGGAACCTCACTGATTTCTTACAAAGATTGACTTCAGCAGTAAATAGAATGATAACAAATTCAGAAGCAAGTATAATAATTGAAACTCTAGCCTTTGAAAATGCTAATGCACAATGCAAAAGGGTCGTTAGGCCATTAAAGACAAGATCCATTCCTTGAAGGAATGGATCCAAGATACAGTCAATATTGAATCTAATAACCATGATGAGGCTTGGATTGGAGAGGTGATTTCCAGACATTTAAACAAAAATCAAATGTCAAATGTTTCAATTGTGGTAAACAAGGTCACCTAAAAAGGAACAGTAAACAAGGCATAACTAGAAACAATGTTTTTGCTAACAATAATCCCAATAATCCTTTTTGGATTATATAGAAGGTGTGGCAAAAGCAGGCACTGGACTAATGAATGAAGATCAACAAAAGACAGAGAAGGTAGCCCTTTGCTATCAATAAATGCCTTGAGGGCCTCTTGCCAGCCTCTATGTCAAATTTGATTCAATTATTTCCCGTGATTGTGGAGGAAAATCCTTCCCAGAGCAAATAAAGAACCTAATGCCTATTGTTAGAAACCATGTTGCTCTGGATGATAGAACAGCTATAGAAGAAAGAATAAAAAATTCAGGAGAAACCATAAAGGGAATATTTTGGCAAACTTCTATAGATAAACTATGACCAAAATTAAAAATATGAATAAAAGACATTGTTATTGAAGGTCTTGTAGCCACAGGTGCAGATGTAGCAATAATTGCACCAGAATATTGGCATGCAAATTGGCCTCTTAAGGAGGTAAATGTTCAGCTTTTAGGGATTGGAACATTATCTTAAGTAAAACAGAGCATGAGATGGGGCAAATGAATAGGGCCAGAAGGACAGAGGGGAAAATTAAAGCCATATGTGGCTAACAATGCAGTGAATTTATGGGGCTGTGATTTTTTACAGCAATGTAATTCCAAGATTAACATTCCTACCATCACAGAAACAAGCCATAAACTAACATATGTTTCTGGGAAAAATATTAGAAGGTATTGTAAATAACAGTCACTGACCATTCAATCTACAGAGTCACAGAGAAGTCTGAGGATTCATAGAGACAGGACCTTGTCCTTTTCAGGCTGAGGAGCTGGCTAGGTAGGAGGGTGTATGTGGCTTGCTCTTTTATCTCTCTGATATTTCAGCCTTATCCAAATATCTGACTCTGGGTTTTCATTATTAAGAGCAACTAGAATGTGTGCTACAGGTTAGTGTTTTGCTAAGTAACACATACACACACACATGCAAACAAACAAACACACACTTTTAGTCTCTGCTTCTTCCAGGTCCTGAAACATTTCATTATAGAAATAGAATTTATACCTCATCACATATGGATTTCTTTGGAATCTGAAGAAAGGAGGCTACCTTCACTAGGTGACTACACTCCTAAGGGTGGGTGATCACTATTATTGGTAGCCATAACACATATCTTACTGTCTAAATCTGTTTCATGAGAGGAGCTGAAGTTCACAGGCAGCAATATTGCTCCACTTTCTCCAGTCCCTCTGACAATGGCCACTGTGTCAGCATTATTGACTTCCAGGCACTATTTGTACATTGTTATCTCTGAGTTCACAATATTACAATGACAGCAGGTCTTGCCCTGATCTGCCCAGGTGTATGTGTGCATATGAACCAACATTAACTACTTTCCCACCCTACCACTCTACATATCCTGAGATAGGAACCACTCAAAAGTAGTTAGCAAGACTTTTTTATTGAGCAAGGAATGAGCAAGTGTAAGTGAGCTATGCAGAAAACCATTTGCAGGGAAAGAGAACAGAATACAGGACAACACCTGGGGTATGGGAACCTACCCCAAGTAGTCTAATATACTATGAAACTTAGTGCAGGTGATCTGAAATATAATCCTGAAGCAAAATCTTCCATGGGAGTGGTGAAGTACTGCCAAAGAAGTGTGCAATCTGCATATTATTGCATGGCAGAAACTTATATTTTGTGGCAGCTGGAAGCTGTCAGGGACATCTGGTTCTCCCAGGGCACAATGTAGACCTCAAAAGAACAGAATTCTCTCTGCAAAAATGAATAGAGAAGGTTAATTAGTTCTGGTTACCACTAAGAAGAAGATTTGCAGCCAGAAGTGTCAGGGAGTGGGAATGAAGCAAGTAAGACACCATCCAAAACCTCTGCCAAGTCCAATGACACTCATCCAGAACCAGTAGTGTTCATCTAACATAAGACATATGTGTACATTTATCATGGTATCTTTTTCCTTGTTCTCCCACTCTGTTCCTGATCCAACTGGGACCTCCTGCTCCCCTAAGCTCACTTTCCCCCAACCCTTGCCCTCCATTACCCACCCCACCTCTAGTTTACTCATGTAGATCTCATCCATTTCTCTGTCATTGGATGATCCCTGTGTCTTTCTTAGGGTCCTCCTTACTAGGTAGCCTCCCTTGAGTTGTGAGTTGCAGTCTCATTATCCTTTACTTTATATCTAGTATACACTTACGAGTGAGTACATACCATGTTTGTCTTTCTGAGTCTGGGTTACCTCCCTCAGGACACCATGATAAATGAAGACTCCATGGGAATAGGAAGAAGCAGAGTGCTAGAGAGGTCCCCAGAAATCCACAAAGATACTTCCACTATACACTACTGGTAATGGTTGAGAGAGTGCCTGAGCTGACCTACTCTGGTGATCGGATGGCTGAACACCCTAACTGTCATGATAGAACTCTCATTCAGTGACTGGTGAAAGCAGATGCAGAGATCCATGGCCAAACCCCAGGTGGAGCTCCAGGAGTCCAATCGGCAAGAGAGAGGAGGGATTATATGAGCAAGAGATATCGAGACCAAGATTGGAAAAAGCATAGGGACAAATAGTCAAACTAGTGGAAACACATGAACTGTGAACCAATAGCTGAGGAGCCCCCAGGGAACTGGATCAGCCCCTCTGGATAAGTGAGACAGTTGATTAGTTTGAACTATTTAGGAGGCCCCCAGACAGTGGGACCGGGACCTGTCCTTGGTGCATGAGCTGGCTTTTTGGAACCTAGGGCCTATGCAGAGACACTTTGCTCAGCCTTGGTGCAGGGAGGAGGGACTGGACCTGCCTCAACTGAATCTACCAGGCTGGGCTGACTTCCCATGGGAGACCTTGTCTTAGAGGAGGTGGGAATGGGGGATGGATTGGGAAGGTAGACTGGGGGGTGGGAGGACAGGGGGATTTGTGGCTAATATGTAAAATTAGATTAAGTATAAAATAAAAATATTTATTTAAAAAAAGACATATGTGCACATCTTAGAAGACTCACAGGGTTTCACATCTCTTTGGCAAAACAACCTTTAAAGAGTAGCTCATAACTCATGCAAGGACCTTAGAGGTCAAGAAATGGGGACAGATTCAGTAAGCTGCACCCCCTCTGCTCCAGCACCAGAGACAACAATGATGAATCTAGGGCTTGCGACCCAGAAAGTCTTCAACACTGTGTGGAGGAAAAGCAGCATAATGAGGAACTACAGTGATATACAGAGTCACTCTATCTCAAGAAAACTTCTGTCGTAGAAAAGCCTGGCATTGGGTAAAAGGGAAAGCACTGGATGACTTCATTTCAGCATGATCTGGACAGAAGCTCAGTTTGGGATTGCATAGAGCTTTGCCTATTAAGGACCACTGACGCTGTTTGCTCCTATCTAGCAGTCAACACACCCAATTCATCCAGGAATATTCTCAGAGTACTTAATTAATACTGCAATCCAAAGAACAACTTGAAATTTTAATGTGTACACACATACCTTAAACAACTGGGTTATATATACTCCAAATAATCTATACATATTTTCACAAATAACCACATTCTCTTCATACACACAAATATATTCATTTCTCAAAACACAGCAATGTCACATATTCACTTTTCCAAATTTGTATTAGTATGAGGAAAATGCTCTACCATAACTCAGCATACAACTGTACACATATGCACACACATACATACTTTTTTAATGTATTCACCCATGTGCACATTTGTAGACATAATCTGATATGTACTTTCACAAACTAACGTAATTGCAAACCCTCCTGAGCATACAATAGGTCCAAGATATATGCCATGTCCATACCTCTTGCTGATCAGCCTGATCATTTAAGGGACAGTTGGTCAAGTCAGCCTGGGGTTTCATACATGTGGTTTGGCCTAGGATCACATCAAATAAGAAATTCATTCCACCCACAACCTATACAGAGAAAACAATGACTCACTTTCAACACTAGACTGACCTTTACATCCAGCACTTTTACACTGTAGAATCAATGGGCTTGGTGGGAGATATAGGTTTGTTCTGTATCCCAGAATCTAATCAATATTAAATGTATAATTCAGCAATCATTTGGCTTAAAAGGGCTTATTGGGAAATGTTATCATTTATACTATTTTCTACAGAGAAAATATTTTACTGTTTAAAATAACCCTGGACTTTTAAATTATAACCTGTTTTTATGTTAGAAAAAAAAAAGAAATCGTGTTTAAGACTAATCTATTGATTAGGCGAGAGCCCTCTCATGGTCCTCATGATCCAATCAACTCTGGCAGGGCCTCACACAAACTTAAAGGATGGTTTTCTTGACACTCAGTTATTCATTTCTCAGTTAAAATATGTGGAAAATATAGATGACCCATAAGAGCATATATTTCCTTTAACCTGAGGAGGGGTGGTTACAAGGCTAGAGGCAGATGGGAAGGGATTGGGAGATGAGTGGGATCAAAATGCATGACTTGAAATACATAAGAATCAATAAAATTTTAAATTTGGAAAAAGGTCAAATTAAAACAAATCTGGGAAGTACTTACACTAAACAGTTTGCTTTCGACACATTTACAAAATCACTCACCTATATATGTCTTAAGAGAAAAAGGAAGCTGGAGCCAACCCAGTAAAATGTCACAGTGAAGGGAGACAATAGATTGACAGGTAGACTCTGGGCTACAGATTTGGCTACTCCTAACGATTTCCTATAGACAGAGTAACAATTAAATGAAATACACAAAAATTCATGCAGAGAAGTGAGCTGTGGTAATGATTTGTTCTTTTTTGTGGTCTCTTAATTATATGTGGACACTACCTCCAGGTTTCAGAAGATTGATGAAAGGACATTCATCTTATTGAAGGACCCTGATTTGTACCATCATTCAGAATGCAACTGGGAAGTTAAATAAGGAACACACATGCCCCTACCTGCATCATATCCCTAAGTATTCAACAACCTAATAGAGGGTATTTAACTTGGGGAAATCCCATCTACAAGGGCTTCCAGATAACAGCAAATCTTAGGACAAGGCTTAAAATGAGACAGCGGTGTAGGGACACTGCCGTTATCTCCATCTTAGATCACTGGTGGCAAGTCACAGTGTACTACATTCAGGAGTGGTACAGCAGAGAGGAGTCAATGCTGGATTAGGGCAACACGTATGTCCCTCTAAGTGACAAATTCAGGCTCCTTCACTTCAAGGGTCACATACCTGTTTTTGGACTCTTTCTACTTCTACAACACGGCTCAGATGCAAGTCATTGTTGTTTTCATTGTACTTGCTGACAGCTTAGTCCAGTGCTTCTGGGGCCCCCTCTTCCTGCATACTGGATTCCTCTGTGCCACCCAGCAGTGTTTCACCCAGCGCAGGGTTCAGGCTCAGGTTCACAGCCACCATGAGAGTTGTCAACAGGAGTAGTGGAGCATGCAGCAGACAGGCCATGGTTTTCCTAGACTTGGAAGTAGATCCAAGACTTGATTTGTAGCTGAAGTGAGTCTGGATGAGATAGTGAGTACAGCCTGGAAATGAGTTGCTCTTTTATCCTGCCCTCTTATCCTGCAAGGGCTCCTTGCCAGTGTCCCATGCTCTGTGACATTTGCCCCTCCTTTTCCTTTTTCTCCTCTCCCTCTATAGTTTCTCTGTCTTCACACTGCCCACCAGTAACTTGGATCTGGCTCCTCTTCAGTCCCTTTCTGGTCTACACCAGTAGCACCTTTTCCCTACTCTTCATTACTCTGTATTGCTTCTTATTGTCACTCTCAGAACTCCTGGCTATCACTTAACACCAGCTTGCTCCACCAATCCTAGCCTAAGCATCTGTTCTCTCATACATATTGATCATTCTGTGTACTCAAGATATTAATGTTCTCTGGTCTTCAAATGACTATAGCCAGCAAGATGAACTCTTACTGTCTTTGAAAATCTTTCTCTTTCTGGTCTTGCAAGTACAGATTCATTCAAGGTCACAGTTCTGTATTCCCCATGTAAGAGTGGTATTTCATTTATCATAGTATCTCTTTCCTTGTTCTCCCACTCTGATCTTGATCCAGCTGGGACCTCCTGCTCCCTTTCCCCCAAACTTTGCCCTCAATTACCCCCCTCACCACCAGTTTGCTCTTGTAGATCTCATCCATTTCTCTGTTGCTGGGCAATCCCTGTGTCTTTCTTAGGGTCCTCTTTACTAGGCAGCCTCCCTGGAGTTGTGAGTTGCAGTCTAGCATCTACTTTACATCTAGCATCTACTTATGAGTGAGTACATACCATGGTTCTCTTTCTGAGTCTGGGTTACCTCACTCAGGATGATATTTACTAGTTTCATCCATTTGCCTGCAAATTTCATGATGTCATTGTTTTTCTCTGGTGAGTAGTACTCCATTGTGTATACGTACCACATTTTCCTTATCCATTCTTCAGTTGAAGGGCATCTAGGTTGTTTCCAGGTTCTGGCTATTACAAATAATGCTGCTATGAACATAGTTGAGCATGTGTCCTTGTGGTATGATTGAGCATTCCTTGGGTATATGCCCAAGAGTGGTATAGTTGGGTTTTGAGGGAGATTGATTCCTAATTTTCTAAGAAAGCACCATGTTGATTTCCAAAGTGGCTGTACAAGCTTGAATTCCCACCAACAATGTAAGAGTATTCCCCTTGGTCCACGTCCTCTCCAGCATAAGCTGTCTTCAGTGTTTTTGATCTTAGCCATTCTGATGGGTGTAAGATGGTATCTCAGACTCATTTTGATTTGCATTTCCCTGATGATTAAGGATGTTGAGCAATTCCTTAAATGTCTTTCATCCATTTGAGCTTCTTCTGTTAGAATTCTCTGTTTAACTCTATAGCCCATGAAAACCCCATGGGAATAGGAAGAAGCAGAGTGCTAAAGGGGTCCTCAGAAATCTACAAAGATACCTCCACTATAGACTACTGGTAATGGTTGAGAGAGTGCCTGAGCTGACCTACTCTGGTGATCGGATGGCTGAACACCCTAACTGTCATGATAGAACTCTCATTCAGTGACTGGTGGAAGCAGAGATCCATGGCCAAACCCCAGGTGGAGCTCCAGGAGTCCAATCGACCAGAGAGAGGAGGGATTACATGAGCAAGAGATATCAAGACCATGATTGCAAAAATCACAGGGACAAATAGTCAAACTAGTGGAAATACATGAACTGTGAACCAATAGCTGAGGAGCCCCCAGGGAACTGGATCAGCCCCTCTGGATAAGTGAGACAGTTGATTAGCTTGAACTATTTAGGAGGACCCCAGGCAGTGGGACCAGGACCTGTCCTTGGTGCATGAGCTGGCTTTTTGGAACCTAGGGCCTATGCAGAGACACTTTGCTCAGCCTTGGTGCAGGGAGGAGGGACTGGACCTGCCTCAACTGAATCTACCAGGCTGGGCTGACTTCCCATGGGAGACCTTGCCTTGGAGGAGGTGGAAATGGAGGGTGGGTTGGGGGGAAGGCTGAGGGTGGGAGGAGGGAGGACAGGCGAATCTGTGGCTGATATGTAAAATTAAATTAATTATAAAATAAAAATATTTATTAAAATTTAAGAAAAACCAAATAAATATAAAAGGAGTGGTATTTCAAGTTATCAGGAACATTCAGTCCTGCCCTTTTCTGCAGAGCTTCTCATTGGCATAATTTCTGTAATGGCCTTTAATTTGGACCGTGTCTCTTTTTTTTCTTTCCATGACTCATTAGCTCCAGTCATTACATTCAGGTCGATTATTTCCATCATACTTGCGTACAGCAAATTCCAGTACTCCTGGGGCTGTCTTCCAGATACTGCAATTCTCTGTGCTGCCTAGCAGTATGTGACTGGGCACAGGGTTATGGCTTAGGGTCAGAGCCACCTTGAGGGTGCTCATCAGATGTAGTGGAGCTGGATCAAGAAGCTATGAACTTCTTTGACTTGCATTGGATCTCTGATTGGATGTGGAGCTGCTGTGAGCCTGGATGAGGAAATAGGTATAGACAGGGAATCAGCTTCCCTTTTCTCCTGCACTCCTTGACAGGCCCCATGCTCTTTTGCTCTTGACCCCCCCTTTTTCTGTTCCTCCCCTCTATAGTTCCTTTCTTTTCACACTATCCCTATAGGTCCCCAGACCTAACACCTTCCCCCTATTCTTTGCATCTTCTACATGTCTCTCCTCCCTCTCACTCTCTCACAACTCCAGACTATCACTTCATCCTAAATTTCCCCCACAGAATCATACCCTCCTGATTCTGAGCTCTCCTAGGATGTTCTTCGTGTGTACACAAGGTGTCACTGTTCTTTGGCCTTCAAGTGCCTATAACATCAAAAATGAACTCTTTCTATCACCAAATATTTCCCTTTGAGGTCTTGAGATGGCAGAGTAATCCAGTGTCAAAGAGAAGAATTCCCTATGGAAGGGTAGTACTCCAGTTGACCCAGGAAAATATTAACTTGCAATCCAAATAGCACTTTTCATATTAATGAACACTAGATGGATTTGGGGAGAGTTTTAAACAGTTTACATGATTGTTTTCTGTATTATGGAAGCAAGGTGTATGTTGTCTTCAAGAACAGCATTTTATGATCAATGGGCTATCAGTCAGTACAGCTAGTGGTTGTGTTGTGTTTTGGGAGTTTCCGTGGCCTCTGTGGACAACTAACTAATAAGGTTCAATGGCATGTATTGTGATGTTTTATAATTATAAAGTGTTTTAATGAACATTTTCTAACCATGCAGTTTTCTCATTTTAAACTCTTTGTTAACACACATATGCTTGCATGAATACAAATATACATATATGTAGATGCACACATACATTATAATAAGTTGTTAGATTTCCATGTTTTTCATCTCCCCAATCCCTCTGCTGCCTCCCTGTTTAACACCTTTCACTCCTATTATTCCACTTTGTATCTTCATATTACTTATAATGTACTCTCATCCATCCCTTCACTCGTCCCTCTTCAAAGAGCTCTTTCTACTTTCATGGTTTCTACTTACAGTTCATGTGGAAAACAGAAACTTGGGCATCAGACATAAGGGATGTTATACAGCATTTTATATTCTTAGGCTGGAGGACCTCAACCACTATTTTACATTAAAGTTGCATCTATTAACTTTAAACTTTATCATTTCATGTTTCTTTGAATCATATTTCAATTCCATTGTGTGTTTGGCCATATCATTATCATCAAATAATCAAAGGCTGGATGTCTAAAAAGATCATACTTCCTAGTTTTTATGAATAGAGCAGAAATGAGTAATTACAATTACAAATCTGTCTGGCCAGACATAGAGTTCTTTGATGTATGACCGTAAGTGGAATATTTGGGTCAAGAAGAAATTCTATTTCAAAATTTCTGAGCCATTCCACACTGCACCAGTTATATTTTTCACAAACAGTGAATAAGTCTTCATCTTTCTCCTCTTTCTTTACAGAGTTTGATTAATGATCATGATTCTGACTGAGCTGAGCTCTCCTCTCAATATTGTTTTAAATTTCTTTTCAGTGATTGCTGATGTTCATGCTTTTAAGTGGTTCTTATATACTCAGATTTCTATTTTCAAAAATGTCCCCTGTAGATGCATATCCAAGAGCCCTTTCTAAGAAAGATTCTCATGAAAACAGCATTGGAGGGCACATATCTCAGTATAATACAGACTATGAATGTATAATCCAAAGGAAACATGATGCAAAGGTGAAAAGAAATGCAAGCGATCATAGTAAAACCAGGAAGCAGTACAATATAGTCCAATGTATTATTTATCATCATGAAAAATATGACAAAAAATTAAAGAGAATAAAGTTTTGCTGTTTGTTGTATCCTTACAATTGGCATGTTGCTCTCCATAGAAGCCCATCATGATTTGCAATAAAACACCTAGAACTAAAAGACATTTTCAAAATGTTGAAACACCGAAATTTTATACAATACTCAGTAGACTTTCTATACAAAAACGAGAAGGAAAAAATGAAATGGAAATAGAGAAACATGGCACAAATGCCTGAACGGGAAATAACCCTTAAAATGAATCTAATCATGGAATAAAGACTTCAAAAATGATAATATCAAAACACTACTCCCTTCGATCACAATGCTGTCTGAGGACCTTGCTGCCACTGGGACCATTCTGATCTTGGTGGCATGTGCTTCCACCAGGGAAATGGTGATGTCCAGGCATGTGCTTTGCCCAAGGGTGATGGGTGATGTTACTTTGTATACTGTAAATGTGTTGCTCTGATTGGTTGCTAAATAAAATGCTGATTGGCCAGTAGCCAGGCAGGAAGTATAGGTGGGATACGCAGAGAAGGAGAATTCTGGGAACAGGAAGGCTGAGTAAGCAGATGCCAGCCCAACATCCAGGGAGCAGCATGTAATGGCACACAGGTAAAGCAACGGAACACATGGCAACATATAGATTAACAGAAATGGGCTGAGTTTAAATGTAAGAGCTAGTCA